TACCTACATATATACACACATACCTACATATATACATGCATACATACATACACATACATACATACATACATACATACATACATACATACATAAAACCTCCTTGACCTAGGGAGATGACTCAGCAGGTAAAGCCACTTGGCTGCCGAGACTGAAAACTAAGTCCCATCCTAGGCACTCAAGGGGTAGAAGGAGAGAACCGACTCCAACAAGCTGACCCCTGACCTCCACGTGTGTGCCGTGGTACTGGTATACATGCAAATAATAACTGAAGGGACACTAGCCCGCTGGAGCATGTGGCTCTGGCAGGCCTTGCCCTTTGCCCCCTTCCCTCTGCCTTGCTAAAAGCCATTAGATTACATCCTCCTGGGGCTCACTGCCAAGGTCCAGCTGGCAAAGTATTAAGTCCATCAATCAAAAGTCCTCTTTGGCTCACCGAATTAACATGGCCAATTAAAGTTAAACACCTTGTTCTAACACTGTGGTGGTTTGAAAGAAAACGGCCTCCAAAGGGAGTGGCATTATTAGGAGGTGTGGCCTTGTTGGGGTGGGTGTGGCCTTGGTTGGAGTGGTGGTTTTATTGGAGGAAGTGTCACCATGGAGGTGGGGTTTGAGGTCTCATATCAGCTCAAACCACTCTCAGTGCCTCAGATCACTTCCTGTTGCCTGCAGTCAAGATGTAAGACACTTGGTCACTTCTCCAGCACCACGTCTGCCTGCACGCCACCATGTTGCACCGTGAGGATAATAAACTAAGCCTCTGAAAATGTAAGCCACCCCAATTAGATGTTTTTTTAAATGTAAGAGTTGCCATGGTCTTGGTGTCTCTTCACAGCAATAGAAAACCTAAGACACACGGGGGTTCATCTTTTACTTTTAACCACCATTTTCCTATGCGCCACATCTGTCTCCTCATTATCCAGATAGTCCTTTGTCCTTCTTTGGAACAAATAGCTGCACTGTTCCCTTGTTTCCTTCCCCTTCTTCCTCTTCCTTTATCTCCTGTGCTTGTCTCTTATCCCTCTCCTTTGTGTCTCTGGGGAAATAAGTCTCTTTTGTGCTGAGAACAAGGCCTTTAGGATCCTGAGCTGATACCCATCTCTTTCAATAGCAAAATGTAAGCCAGGAGGTGATGGCACGGGCCTTTAATCCCAGGCAGAGGCGGGCGGATCTCTGTGAGTTGGAGGTCAGCTTGACAGTGAGTTCCAGGACCCATGGACAAGATGTGAAGCCATACCTCAGGTTCAGCTCCGGGTTGCAGTAGTGACAGTAACACTGGGGACGACAAGGACGAATGACAGAACATGGAACCAAAAAAAAAACAAAATCAAAAACTAAACAAAAGTCAGCCAACCAACTTCCTTCCCTCCCTCCTGTGGTACTGGTGACTGGTCAGCCTCTCTGTGCTCCTGAGCTCGGCCCCCATCTTCCCAGCCTGTTCACTTTTCATCAGCCCTGCCACCTCCCTACCTAGTGTTTCCTGCACTGGCACTGATGACCTTTGACCCGGTCACTTTCAGGGCAAGCAGTGCTGAAAGGCTGAGAGCTGTCCCTGGCCTCTCACTAAATTCCATGCTTCAGTGGGAGCCATAAAATGAAAAATCATCTCCAGATACTGTGCAGAATCTTCTGGAAGACCAAGTCACCTTTGTGAGAACAAGGGCTCTCTGATCATCTCCTGGGTCTCCCCATTTCCCTCAGCCCTCAAGCCCAATCCACGAGCTGCATTCCTGATAGAAGTATAGCCTAGTGGTTCTCAACTTGTGGGACACGATCCCAGACTCTTTCCCGGGGGTCTCCTGAGACCATCAAAAAACACTGATATTTATATTATGATTCATAACAGTAGCAAAATTACAGTTATGAAGTAGTAACAAAAATAGTTTATTGTTGAGGTCACCACAACATGAAGAGCTGTATTAAAGGGGTGCAGCATCAGAAGAATGGGGACCACTGCTCTAGCTGATCTAGCGGATTTTCCTTGTGTTCACTACCACAGGCCCCTGTTTTGACCATGGGCAGGTCTCTCTCCTTCCCCCTGTGTCCTGCTCTAAATCTGCTCCACGCTCAGTGCCCAGTGGCTTCATTGCACAACTCCCACTGACCGGGATGTGACTTACCTGTCAGGGTGCTTGCCTAGCAGGGATGAAGCCCTAGGTTGATCCCAAGCACTCCTCCTCCCATTCCAGACCCCGCTTCTGAGAAATCCCACCATCAGTGGCTCCTCCTCCTGAGATGCTCAAGACTCCTACAGGCTACTTAAAACCCGGCCCGTGGACCCACCAAGTGCTCTCTTTCCTGACTACCAGAGAGCCACCGGGGAGTGCCCTGCTTTCCTTTGCTCTGTTTATTAAATCTTGATTAATTAATTCAGTTTGATTTGGCTTATTACTTCAGTGGAGGCACCCAATAACCAGGGACCAAATACTTCTCACCCCCTAAACTAGCTCTGCCAGCACTTAGGAAGATCATGAGTGCAAGGTCATCCTGGTCTACATCAGAGACCCTGTTCCAAACACACAAACAGGAGTCAGCGGGACAGCTCAGCGGGCAGAGATGCATGAGGTGTCTTATCCAGCAGCATCTCCAGAAACAGCAAAAGACCTGGTTCTTAAGAATCTCCTGAGTCTGTAACAACAACCCAGCCGCAAAACCACCAGTCAACCCAGTCTATCCCGCCTGCAAGACGTGCTGGGGCAATGGCAGCCCAGAACTTGTGGGAGCGGCCAACCAATAGCTGGTCTAACTTGGGGCCCACACCAGGACAGGAAGCCTATGCTCCACACAAAAAGGAACTGGAGGTTGGATAGCACAGAGACCTAGGATAGAACCAAACACAACTGACAAAAAAAAAAAAAAAAAAAGTCAATGAAATGATTTCTGATGATATTCTGCGATGCTCAGAGATCGGTGCCTAGCCCAATTGTCATCAGAGAGGCAACTGACGGGAACAGATGTGGAGTCCATAGCCAAACATTAGATGGAGCTCAGGGAAACTCCTAAGAAGAGGGGGAGGAAGGATTGTAGAAGCCAGAGGGTCAAGGACACAATTAGAACACAGCTCACAGAACTGACTAAGCAGGGCTCACAGAGACTGAATCATTGACCCCGCATAGGTCTGCGCTAGGTCCTTTGCCACACATTATGGTTGTGTAACTTGGTGTTGTTGTGGGACTCCTAACAACGGGAGTGAGGGCTGCCTCTGACTCTTCCTCCGCTCTCAGAACCCTTTTCCTCCTACTGGGTTGCCTTGTCCAGAGTTGACATGAGGGTATGTTCATAGTCTTACTGCAATATGATATGCTATTTTCAATTGATATTCCTGGAAGGTCTGCTCTTTGCTGAAGGGAAATGGAGGAGGAGTGGATCCGGGGAAGGTGGGGG